TTCATCCGGCTTATCAATTTAAGATGAGGCAGCAGATGAAAATGCAAATGTCAAATTACCAAATCCAAACGAACTCCACGCTGAGCCTTGGCAAAATGTTACAGGAGGCCCACCAGGGCATTTTTATATTATTTTTGCCCTACAGGTAAGATGCAGGGGGAAAGGATCAGAATTCTCACCACCCAGTTCTGCCCTGAAGGCCAGCACTGCTGGGAAGGGTGGTTTATGGGGGCTAACAGCGTACACAGTGGAAGATTCCGAGCAGCTGGGAGAAAAGACAAGGAGCCAGAGGCACGGCTTCTGCCTGGGCTTCTTCCTGTGAATCTGGAGCCAGTCTGGGCAGATTGACTCTAGAAAACTCACCCAGCCTCCTGAGAAGGCAGTGGGTGCCCTCCTATGTCAGAGATGGCGCTGGTGGCTAGAGCACAGTTGAGGTTGCAGCTGGTAGAGATGAGAATAAGCGCTGGTCTGAGGGTGTGCACAGAGTCGAGGCTGCAGGAAAACATCAAAGGTGGAAGCGGATGGTGGTTGAGAGGCACGAACTCGGAAGCAAGCACACCTGCCATCCTTTCTTGCTCAGCCACTTACTGCCCAGGTGGTTCCGTGTCTCTTTTGGGCTGTAAACACAATTGCTTTAGTCACTGGGATTGATAAGCAGGAAAAGTTAAGAAAACACCACCACCATGCCCCACATATAAAAATATTACAGCTATGATGCACAAGAAATACAAAACCAGAAAAAGCCCAAATGCCTGTGGAATAGGGGGCCCACTTAAAGGCATTGCGGTGTGTGCCTTTTCAGTGGAATTCCTTGCAAGGGAGATGGGAGAGGGATTCTTTCCACTGAATACCTTTATATGCTGTTTGGGCTTGTTAAACATGTGTGTGTATCACTTGTTTAAAAAATAAAATATTATGCCATATTTAAAACTTTAAGATTACAAAACACAATCAAATAAGCTCAAAGACTGTTCTTTCTCAAACCCATCTTCTGTTCATCATGCCCTCCCCGCAGCTTGCATCTACACAATGTCAAAACCACGGATTTATTGAAGGAGCAGAATCTGCATGGTTTAAGAATCATATTACTCACATTGTGAAATTAACTTGCCAAAATAGTTACCCCAGCAGCCCTATCTGGACATAGTTCTGTGGACCCAGCTGTCATATTTTCAAAATCAAGTCACATCCTTGCTTAAATTATTTCTGCATTGCTCTTCTCCTGGCACCAAATTGACTATGCTGCTTCTCACACATGCACCTCTATGATTTGACCCGTAACAGCCTTCCTAATCCTCTTGCCATTTTCCCCCACTGTCCAGCACTGTGCTTAGTCAACATATATTCATTGAACAAATAACTGAAATTCATCCTTTATAGACTATTCTTCTCCAGCAACTGCTCTACATCTGTTACATGAAACACACTTTCCACACTCCCAACTTTGCACCTGCTGATCCCGCAACTTCAGATGCCCTTCCAAGTCATTTCTTCTCCACTCAGAACATCCTCATTTGCCTTTCAAAGCCTGTTGCCAGTGCTGCATCTCATGTGAGCCTTCCCCTTTTTCTTTCCATACAGTTCCAGCTCCATATTGAGCACAGGGCTGGGATGTGAGTAGAGGAGTAGATGGCATGTGCTAGGGTCTTAACATTGGTGTAAAACACCCCCAATTCATACATTGGAAACTAATGCCCAGTGTCAGTGTGTGAAGAGATGGAGCCCTTAGGAAGTCATGCCGGCCCTCATAAATGGGATTAGTACCCTTATAAAATATTTTGAAGGAGGTGTTCCTACCCTTCCTCCTTCTGCCATGTGAGGATGCAGCAAGAAGATGCTATCTATGAGGAACAGGCCCTCACCAGACACCAAAGTTGCTGGAGGCTTGATCTTGGACTTTCCAAAGATCAAAGAATTTATTGCTCCAAAACTGTGAGCAACAAATTCTATTGTTTAAAAATTACCCAGTCTCAGGAATTTTGCTATGGCAGTCTGAATGGACTAAGCCCACATGCAGGTAGGGTCTCAGAGATCTGTGGCTCTGGATGGCAAGGTCATCTTTTGCCTGCCCTCACCCTCAGCATTTCACCTGCTTGAACCATGGGTCACTTAACCAAAACCTCTGGTAGTGAGCGGGAGTGTATTGTAAAGAAAGAGGTAAGGGGCTGATGAGGCCAATGATGAACACTGAAGCTGGCAAAATATTTCTACAGAAAAAGTAGTCATGTTTATTTTGTGATAACAGTAGAGAATATCATTGTCATTTTCAGAGAATTGTGATGGTTGATCTGCATTAAATGGTCCGGATATGCTTCATTGCAGTAATTGTCATTTGTGGCTAACTCATTTAAGAATTCTTGTAGGTGTGGGGGAATATCTAAGTAATAAGATTCAGGTGCTTCCATGTAAGTTGGTGACATTAACCTCATATTTTTCCATTTGTATGAAGAGCTCTTGGAGTTGTATGTTTTAAATTACATTATGAAAAATGTAACGAAAAGGGAAAATGCATGTATAGAGTAATGCTTATCTTTCCATGTGTATGCTGCAGTTTTGTTTTTGTTTTTGTTTTTAAAGAGATGCTGATACTGCTGCTTTGCCAATATATAGAAAAGATTTGTATTAGGAAAGCAAAAATGTCTTTTACTTTTTCATTTTAAACTTTACATTTCTAGAAGTTACTTTTAAAGTTAGAATATTTAGTTTTCAATATTCATTTACTCAAAATAAAACACATTACATTTTCAGTGGTGTAGTTGCATCCCCTACACATTGCTGTTACTCTCTAGCATCTTATATTCATGTATTTTAAAAAATGGTTGCACATTGGCTAACTTTAAACTTCATTTCATAGTTGGTGTAAATGTAACACTTGCCCTTTTTTGAGTATTTTGCCTTAAAAAAAGAATCAACACACTGATCTGAATTCTAAGAGTTAAACACACACAACATTGTTCTTAAAAAATAGTTGATAAAAAGTTGAATTACTTAAAAGTTCAAAATATTGAGTAATTTAAGTCTGCTCACCAAATGTTTTCACAATTTCAAATATTTATATTATAATATATGATAATATAAACAAAATTTATATCTTTAAATAAATATAAACATGAAATTTATATGTGTAGAAATGCTTGATTTAGTTTTTTATCTCTAAAAACATTAGTTATCAAAATAAAAAAAGATACTTTGATTATAGGCACTTATTTATAGTTTATAATTGTTCTACTTAAATTTCTATAATTTTGTGGGTTTTGTGTTCATATAATTAAGTTTCAATTTGTCCCATATCTTTCTCTGTCTTTTACTGGGTGCTTTTTAAGAATAACCTCAATTTTTAAGAGATTGGATTTCTTATAAAGCTGTTTCTTGTGGTTATTGAAAAATTACTTTAGGAAAGAATTGTGTAGCCAAGCTGCTTATATAAGCTAAATGGAAAAAAGAATATATAAGATTTTTCCTCCATATCAGTTGAATGTTGTGACTGAGTGAAATGAGATTTCTAAAAGCTTTTATTTTCTTTCTTTTTTTAACTATTAGGAATCTTCAGTGGGAAATAAAACATAAGGTTACAAAAAAGGTGAAAGTAATAAGAAAGGGGAAAAAAGACATATCAGGAAAATACTCACAAAAAGAGCTGGGTAGCTATATTAGTTTTAAACAAAATTAACTTTAAGACAAAAAAAATATTCGGGATAAAGAAGATCAATGCGTAATGGTCAGATAAAAACTTCCCTGAGAAGAAATAACAATTCTAAACTTATATGGACTCAGTCATAAAGCCTCAACACGTATAATAAAACAAAAATGGAAAGAATAAGAGAGCATCCATCAGTGTGGCAAAAGTTTTATTTGTTTTAAATATGTGGGCTTGGCTGAAAGAGGTACAAGTTGCAATAACTTTGGAAAAGAACTTGGTATTATTTAATAAAGCTGATGAAAGCAAACCCTTAATGCTTTATTCCCATGCCTGGAGTCACCGCAAAGACACTATCCAGCTTTGTGCAGGGGCAAGGACAAGGGTGCTTGATACACAGAAACATGAAAAAATGCCTCAGTGTTGCTTTTTAAAAAAACTTTTAAGTCAGGGGTCCATGTGCAGGATGTGCAGGTTGGTTACATAGGTAAGTGTGTGTCATGGAAGTTTGTTGTACAGGTTATTTCATCACCCAGGTGTTAAGCCTAGTATCCATTAGTTATTTTTCCTAATCCTAATGGGTCAGGATACTAAGTCTAGTATCCACTAGTTATTTTTCCTGATCCTCTCCCTCCCCCCAACCCCCACCCTCCAGTAGGCCCCAGTGTGTGCTGTTCTCTCCATGTGTCCATGTGTTCTCATCATTTAGTTCCCACTTCTAAGTGAGAACATGTGGTATTTGGTTTTCTGTTCCTGCATTAGTTTGCTAAGGATAATGCTGTCCAGCTCCACCCACGTCCCTGCAAGGAACATGATCTCATTCCTTTTTATGGCTACATAGTATTCTATGGTATATATGTACCACATTTTCTTTATCCAGTTTATCATTGATGGGCATTTAGGTTGATTCCATGTCTTTGCTATTGTGAATTGTGCTGCAATGAACATACCTGTGCATGTATCTTTATAATAGAACGATTTATATTCATTTTGGTATATACCCAGTAATGTGATTGGTGGGTCGAGGAATTGCAATAAACTAGGTATTGAAGGAACATACTTCAAAATAATAAGAGCCATATATGACAAACCCACAGCCAATATCATACTGAATGGGCAAGAGCAGGAAGCATTCCTCTTGAAAACTGGCACACGACAAGGATGCCCTCTCTCACCACTCCTATTCAACATAATATTGGAAGTTCTGGGCAGGGTAATCAGGCAAGAGAAAGAAATAAAGGGCATTCAAATAGGAAAAGTGGAAGTCAAATTATCCCTGTTTGCAGATGACATAATCCTATATCTAGAAAACCCCATAGACTCAGCCCCAAAGCTTCTTAAGCGGATAAGCAACTTCAGCAAAGTCACAGGATACAAAATCAAGGTGCAAAAATTGCTAGCATCCCCATACACCAACAGTATTCAAGCCTAGAGCCGAATCACAAACAAACTTTCATTCATAATTACCACAAAAAGAATAAAACGAGGAGGAACACAGCTAACAAGGAAAGGTCTCTACAAGGAGAACTAAGCGTGCCTTGATGGGAGAGCATATCAGCTATGGAATATTCATATGACTGGATCACACACAGCAGCTAAAATGAATGGAGTTGCATGTCAGGATGTGGATGAATCTCAAAAATGTAATGTTGAACAGCAACCAAAAGCTATAATTATTTATTATGTCACTTTAACAAATAACATTTCCGGATAACGTTTCCTTCGGCTGATGGCACAAAGATGCTTGGCTTCTTGGTGGTGTGACTCAGGGCCTAGGCATGTGGCTGCACGTCCAATCTTACTGCATCTTACCAGTGTGTCCCTTGGAGACAGGATGCCACCCAGCAGTGTGCCCACTCTCTTAGGAGTGAAGTGAACACAGCAGCCTGGGAAGTGGGCACTTCTGGGGGAGAAGAAAGTTCATGGAGAAATTCCCCTTAGGAGTCTCATAGAGAAGCCTCCGGAAGAGAGTTTTAATCACCCGGAGCTACCACCTGTGTTCTGCAGGCAGAGAAATGAAGGCTTGGGGAGGAGAAGGACCTCCCGGCATCCTAGTTTGTGGGTTGTCAGATCTGTGAGCAGCACGTGTGGATGCTCATCACCAGGCAAGGTAAGTTCTTCGATGTATTCTGTGCCCTGTGAGTGGAGGAGCTCCTTACTGTAAACAAGGCAAAGTCAGCAATGTGACAGCTGTCTCTGCAGGGTAAGGAGTTGGGGGTGAGTTCTCTCCTTATCATGGGGCTGGGGTATTCAGCAAAGAGACCAGAAGATAGGGCACCCTTGAGCTAAGGAGTTTGTCAGGAGAGGAAGGCAGAGGAGGAAGAGGAGGGTGCAGCGTGCCAAGTAGAGGGAACCAGACGAGCATGACCTGAAGGCAGGAAGCTGTCTGCACATCCATCTCGAGATGAGGAGGGCATAAGGAGGAGGGCAAGGAAGGTCAGCAGAGTCAGGACCTTGGTGTCCCATCACTGTCCCCTCACAAAGTCATAGAGGGCAGAGAGGGTCCTGGGTGTGCCTTTGCCTCCCTAGAGTTTGGAAGGGGGTGGGGAGTCTGATCCCTGATTGTCAATGGGGCAGGGACATCTGTGATCCAGGCCCTCCCACAGCTCACCCTTTCTTTGATCCCACAGCTCTGGGTATGACAGCCAGGGGACCCTGCAGAAATGGTGGAGTTCCACTGGAGTGGGGCTCGTGGGGGTCAGACAAACAAGCTGAAAACACAGCTCAGGGTGAGGAGTCTGTGTCGCCTACCACCCACTTGAGGAAGGTGTTTCAAACCCAGACTGATCAAGCAGCAGAAACTGAGGTCTCCCTGAGGGATCACAGGCAGGTGCTGGGCTGGCAAGGGGCACCTGAAGAGATATTTTCAGCTCAGATGGCAGAATCTGGAAGAACATGGCAGGAAAATCTCAGAGGAAGCAAACGCCGCATGGTTTTGTCTCAGAAGTGCCCACAGTTTCTCTGGACCTTAGGAATTCCGGGGGCCGTTGACCAACAGGGCTTGGCTCAGTTGTCCCTGGCTCAGTCATGATGACATCTGGCTGAACCCCATCCACTAACCCCACTCTGTGTCAACCCTGTCAAGCCTGGGTGCATGGATGGGCTCCGAATGGGCTGACTCTGCCCTTCCGCTAAGAAGCCCAAGAACTAAGTTGGTTCCCCACCGTTGACTTTTAACTGGAGTTTCAGTGAGTTGACGGTCTGATGTGCCAAATGGACCAGAGTTTCCGAGAGTAAATGTGTAACTGATGGGGGCTTCTTGGTAGATTCTTCAGAGCCACAAAAAAGGTCAGTTATGACAGCTCAGCCCTGGTATTTCCCCAAACAGGAAGGCATTCAATAGTTTCTTCCTTGATCCATGGGTCTCAAGCTCGCAGTCCACCACCGACCCACCAACGCTCCTCAGGCTAGAACAACAGTACCAACTGCTCATGGTGACAGTCCCCCTCAACAAACTTTCATTCACAATTGCCACAAAAAGAATAAAACGAGGAGGAACACAGCTAACAAGGGAAAGTCTCTACAAGGAGAACTAAGCGTGCCTTGATGGGAGAGCATATCAGCTATGGAATAGTCATATGACTGGATCACACACAGCAGCTAAAATGAATGGAGTTGCATGTCAGGATGTGGATGAATCTCAAAAATGTAATGTTGAACAGCAACCAAAAGCTATAATTATTTATTATGTCAATTTAACATAATTGACAAGGAGGAGATGGGGATTGGAGGGGGACGGGGAGAGTGAACAGGGAGGAGGGGACATTCTGGTGGGTCATCACTGCCCTAAAGCCCCCTTTCTGCAACCTTGCTTTTGAAAGTGAAGCTACGAGGGAATGGACACTCCTTGCCCTTGAACCCTGGGTTTTCTCTGCGTATCCTCCCCCCGTTGAGATGAGACAATTATCCCCATTTTACAGATGAACACACTGTGGTCCAGAGAGTTGGTATGGCTTGGCTAAAATCACACAGTAAGTGAGTAGTGGAGCTGCTTTCACATCCTTGTGGATTGAAATCCAACGCTCTTTCTACCCCTACTGGCAGCACCTACATCACATACAAAGTGGATGTTGCATCAATCTAGTGATGAGTGCAAGGAAGTGCATGTGCCGGTCACTCTCAAAGGGGCTTACAGCACATCTTAAAAGAGAGGAGAAGTAATCACAATTGCATGTTATAGTGCATCCAAGTCCCCACATAAAGTTGCATGGGAGAAGGGATAAGGGATAGACACGGTGCCCACCTCAGTATTTAGGGAGGGGTAGATGGCAGTTAGGGAAGGCCAGTGCTACTCCTGTATTTGTCATGCTTAGCTAGGTTTCCCTCTAGGCTAGGGATCAGCTCCCATATGTGTCTGTGTTCCTGGCACCCATTTATAGTGCCTGGCACAGAGCAGGTGTTCAGGGGGCATCAAGTGAAGTAGGGAACGTACAAATGTCTTGGGGGAAGGGAAGCACTCCCATTTAATTGACTGAGAAGGCTTTTACTATAATGATTTGTGGCTTCTTTGCAAAGTGGAAATAATAATAATACTACCATGTTTCTGATCTTTGTGACCCAAAGGAGACCAAAAAAGAAGAAGAAGAAGAAGAAGAAGAAGAAGAAGAAGAAGAAGAAGAAGAAGAAGAAGAAGAAGAAGAAGAAGAAGAAGAA